TAGGAACCGTTAATTTTACGAACGGGACACCGGAGCGCTCCCGGTTCATCTCATGACATTGGTTCCCAATGTCATGGAAACCTTGCTCATTGAATAAAGGGGGAGGATTATGATGGAGAAAATAAATATGACTTGAAATTAGTGTTAAAAAATGAATCTATTTAAATTTAAATTTTCAATTACAACATGAAATTATGAATCAATAATGAATTAGAAAAAGATAATTTAAAAATAAAAAACAAGTTAAGTTAGCTTTATAAAAGCTAAAAAAGAAACCATAAACTTTTTTTATAAAAAAGGTTGGACGAGTGAAACTCATTCTCTTTGTTTAAAAGAATAGAATGACTGAAAGAGCGTAAAAATGACAAAATAAGCAAGGGAGAAAAAGAACAAAAGAATGATGGTGTAAATTAAATGACTACATGAGGTGTTGGGGCCGGGCGTGCCCTCACCCCAGCCTATTGTCCGCTCTAACTTAAACCCTCACAAATTTATTTTTGAATACCTCTAGAAGGACTCATACTAATGAAATCGGGTTAGACATATTTATTTTAATCTTTCTTCTCTTCTGCCTCGAGTGTGGGACTTGAGGAATCCCAACATATAGAAAGTGGTGATTTATGTATATGTCTTACCAAATATGTGGATTTTGGTAGTCTAAACCTAAATATATACTTCATCCGTTCCACAAAACATTTTGTGCTTCGACTTTTTAGATGAGAAATTATAGAACTTTGACCAAGGTGAAACGACGATAATTGAAACGAGTAGGGTTTGGAAAATGTCAAAATTGATAAGACGTAAAAGGTAGTTGAGGTAAGTTCGATTAAATTTAACAAAAGTAAAGATAATTGTGTCCATTTAGATTAAATTAAAATATTTTATGTGACAAGAAATATGTAAAAATTGAAAATTTTTTACCGGACCAAAGAAGTACTAGTCTAATAATAACGATAGAGTGGATCAGTGGACTTGTTACTACGTAACTCAATTAAAAACTGCAAAACGTAGCATGCATATCAACAATTGTCATTATAATAGCAACATCTACAAATGAAGATACTACCTTAACTGTTTAATTGGCAATCAAACTAATGAAGATTAAAGACATTAAAGCAAAGAAACATAGTATTGAGTTCATATATATTCTCAAGGGGCCCCACCGAGCTCAATATTATTCCCAAGCTGTTCCTCATTATTTCTTTGTTCCATCTCCTTTGCTGCATCATAGGAAGCATGAAGCCCAAACATGACATAGTAAACCAATAGAAATGCTGTCCAAATTGCAAACCTCTTGTAAGAGGCTCCATCTATTGATCCTAGGAGGAAAATGTTTATGGCGATCGACGCCGATGGTAGCCATGGCACCAATGGCACCCCCCAGAGCTTCGGGTCCCGCGCACGGGGCACGAGGAATCGGATCCCGGCTGTGGCCAGAAGCCAGACCGGGACAGTCACGCAGTATACGACCCAACCGGACTCACTCAGCGCCCAGTAAGCCGCAGTGCCCACCGAGGACGCAAGGATGAGCGAGAGGAACAAGATAAATCTGTTGCGGTCACGGGGCGCGGTCTGGCCCGTGGCATAGTAACGTCGCACTAGGAGAGCGATTGCCACGAGCATGAAGATGAAGAGCGTGGCGATCGATAGGAGGTTTGCTAGGATGTCGAGTTTTGTGAAGAATGCGATGATCGCGGTTGCAGCCATCATCGTCGCTGTCGCATTGATTGGCGTCCCGGTTTTGGAGTCAACGTGCGAAAACCACGGGGGCATCATGTGAGTTCTAGCAATGTGGGTTAGATAACGCGCCTGTCCAACCGCCCCGACTAGCAAAACAGAAGTCATCCCTACAAACAAACAAAAAATGTTCAGAAATAAAAAATGAGTGGCTGAAATTTGTTACTCTAAAAATCATCTATAGTAACAAAAAATGTTCAGAAATAAAAAATGAGTGGCTGAAATTTGCAGAAAAAGAGAAAAATACCACGAGCACTAAAATCGTCTCGATATTACCTTTGAGAGCGCCGAACGCCACGATGTACTGAGCCCAAGACCACCCGACATTCTTGAACGCAATCGAAAACGGTGCGTTTGCATCGATCGTGTCGTACTTTTGGATCATACAGAGTGTGACAGCCAGGAGACAGTATATGGTGGTCGTGATCACCATGGACCCCACCAGCCCGATGGGGATGTCCTTCGCGGGGTTCTTCGTCTCCTCAGCCATGGTCGAGACCGCGTCGAACCCGACGTAGGCGAAGTAGAGGACCGCCGCGGCCTTGAACACCCCGCGGGGCCCGAAGGGCATGAAGGGCCGGGCGAAATTGTCGGGGTTGGATTTGGCGAGGCCGACGACGATGATGAAGAGGATGACGATCATGTGGACAAACGAGGCAATGTAGTTGAGGCGTGAGGAGCCCTTTGTGCTTAGGATTGCAATGATGCATATGACGAAGCAGACCACGACCGCAATGGGGTCGAGGCGGTTGTATCCCTCCGCTAGGGCATCTGCCCTTATGAGAAAGGACTGTGGGTCCCTGTTGAAGAGGGTTGCCAGGTATGATGTCCATGACCGCGCCACCGCCGCCCCCGAGATGACGTATTCCAAGAGGATGTTCCCGGCGGCGATAAAGGCGACGAAGTCTCCCAGCTCCACCCTCAGATACGCAAACGAACCACCTAATAGTAATTATCAACATAATATCCATCTACGTACCATCTTCAAATCATGAATTAAATAACACTTAATTTGCGTTAATGACAATTTTGATTATTACTTCAAAATGCAAAAGTATGAAGCTAAAATTCTCAAATGCAACGTAGGGATGCCAATTGAGTTGGAGTCACAATCTTACGCCAAATTAATGATGTACGATTACCCCTTCTCAAATGTAAATAAAAGTGCAAGTCTAAAATGATTATTCATCACCATTACCTGCAACGGGGATCTCCACGGCGAACTCGGTATAGCAAAAGACGGAAAGCAAGGTGGAGAGGCCGGAAACGGCGTAGGACAGGACGACCGCGGGTCCCGCGTCCTCTCGGGCTTCGAGTCCGGTCAAAACGAATATTCCCGCGCCAATGACGGCTCCCATGCCAAACCAGATGAGGTCCCACCATGACAGTGTTCTCTTCATCTCGTTTTGGCTTTGGGATCTGGCGTCCAACTCCGTCTGGTCACTGGACCGGGTCAGTACCCGATCTGCCAGCCTAGACGGAGTTTGCTTCAGAGCACCAACGTAGTTTCCCCAGCTCCGGAAGGACTCTTCCGGGAGAAAATCGTCTTTTGCACACAAACACATTCGTCTCTTTATCCCTCCCTCTCTATCTCTCCCCGTTTCCATCCCCATTTTATTTTCCCAGCTAAATAACACCACTGAACACAAATTAATCAAAGTAAATAATTCATTAAAATGATCAATCTCAAAAAAAAAAAAAAGTATACAGTAATATGTACGTTACCAAAATGTAAAAAAGTTTACCAAGATTATTATTGTTCTACAAGACCAAAGTTATAGCACAATAAATGACATATATATTCATGTATTTGATGATCCAAGAATGTATGAACGAAGATCAAAATCCACCATCAGATTTAAAAAAATTAAAATAATTCCAGTAATTAAATCACAAGTGCACAATTCTATTCATGTGATTAGTGAGAAAGTAGTAATTATTGATTGATAGTAACAAATAACGAAATTCAGATTCTAATATTCCATGCACTGCCGTAAACAAAAAAAAATTATAAACCCTAGATCACAACTTGAATTATAAATATAAATTTAACGCAAATTAAATCAAGAATAAACTAATTACTGGTCGAGTAAATAATTAACGTGGAAGATTAAGAAGAAGAAGAAGAAGAAAGGGGGCTTGCCTGTATGTTGAGATCCAAGAATGGCTAATCAATAATTATAAGAAAAATGGTTTTGATATTAAATTTAGTGTACTCCCAGTCCCACCACATATATGATTCCCTGCATAATTATGGAAGGGAATAAAACAAATAGTAATTGATATTATTGTCACAAAGTGTGGATTTATCTCTATAGAGAGAAATTAATTAAAAACGTGCAAATATATGTGGTTTCAATGGGTAAATAAGGTTAATTTGCAATTACGCATATAATCAAGTCCCTTAATTTTGAATTGGTTTCTAAAAATATTCCAACTATATATAAAAATCTAGATAACCATTCTTGCTCATTATTTAAAGTCGTTCAGCGTCAGATTAAGTAGTGTGTTAATAATTCTGGAATACAATTTTTTCAAATATTTTCTTTTATATATTTAACCTCTTGAAACCTAGATGATTATTCTCGCTTTAGACGTCAGATCGGTAATCGAACTCGAAGCCCAGACATTAGTCGATCAAGCTCTTAAATTCTTCATCAATTCATGACATCTTCATGAGAAAATGATTAAATTAGAAGTAAATCATAAAGAAAGTACTAAAATAAAATTTCCTTGTTTTTATCCCCAAAATAGAAGTACAATGACAATAATATCAATATATAGTACCAAAGAGCAAAGTGGATGCCACTATACAGCGTCATAATATCACAGTCCAAACTCCTATTTTGGTTATAAAAAATATGAAACTCGTATTTTGAGAATAAATGTTACTCTATATTTTACACATATTTTGAATAATTTCTGCATCAAGCTTCAGCATGTATATTGATGAGCATGTGATTAATCACTCTCAAATGTGTGGTATTGGAGCACTTGAGGTACATTTGTGTACTCTTAGCATTTTTCTTTATTCAAACACAAATGCAAACAATTATTTTCTATTTCTAAAACAAAAAATAATACTGGGTATACAATTTCTAACAACATGGTAATCGCCAAACATAATTAAGGTCCCGTTTGGCATCAGCGTCAGAGATTAGCGTTAACGTTTTGAAAAGGCTGTCTGACGGTAGCTTTTAGCGTTTTCTAAATTAATCTACACCATTAATATTTTATCCAAAACGCTAACGCTAATTGATAACGCTCTTCCCAAACAAGGCCTAAATCGCCAATGAAAAAATTGATTATTAAAGTTGACCAATTGGATAAGGAAATGTTTGGATTTGGGTAGAAGTGTATCCCAAATAAGATTTTGAATCCTCACTCGCACTTACTCTATTTAATAACAACCAAGCCAAGGGACACTAAGAAGTGTACTCCAAGTTATACCCCAAAGAAATGAACTGACATTTTAACGATTCACACTGGAACAAAATATTAGTTCAATTAAAAAAAATTGCATTAATATTTTTTGTAAATGTAATTCACTATACTAGCATCACACCAGCACAAAGTGTCGGTGTATGCCTTTCGGGTAAAAAAGTGCTGGATAATAGTGTAGTGAGTGTGGTGAGTGTGACAGTGACAATGTAACTGATGGATACCCTGGACTGGGCATATCCGGCCCAACAGAATAAGCGACCCAACAAGGCCCATCTAATCCAAGAATCCGGACGCGCTCGGCAAGGGGAGCCCTGCTCGACTTACCCGGACTTAAAAGGAAACCAAGGCCTCAGGTGACAACTGTACTCGGACTTGTATCCTTGCTCAGCTCGGATATATTTTAAATGTGGACATAAGAACATGTAAGCTTAAAAATAACGGATAGATTATGTAGCCACTCACTTTGAGTGGCTAAGAACACTTTTCCAATTGGGACACCTATGGACTCTACGATACTCTGTTCCCAAAGTTGATAGTTTCTATCTCCCCCAATCTCTCGGCAGATTCCCACTTAGTTCCTATCACAACTCATCTTCTCATTAGGAGGTGTAAGTTTTGTTGATTTTGGGGTCAAATTTTTATACCACAAAGTCAACAAAATTTACAATCTGCAATTGACGTGAGTAGGGAGGTGGATCGAGATCGGGGCTGAGTGGGGGCGGGGTGTTAATAAGGATAGGAAGTCTAGTAAGTATCAACTTTTCGAACGGAGTATAGTATCTATCTCAATTGGGACAATACCTTATGCAACCAATCTCTTAAAGTGGCCATAAAACCTAGCCATAATAAAAGCCCACTTGAGTAGCTGCACAAAATACGGAGTATATGTTTACAAACTTCAAACAAACTCTTTCTAATTTGCGTGCCTAATCCATGTGTAATAGCCATCAAATAATCATACACAACATGGTGAAATGTTTTTTCATATGACCTTATTAAATACTCTCTCTTTTATTAAATTCTTCTCATTTTGACTTTAGACTAAAATAAGATAAGTATACTTATGGTTAAATTTCCAATTTTGTCCTTGGTGAGATGGACAAAAATAAGATGTGATAGTTGGTTTATTAGTGAAAAAGTATGATGTGATAGTTAGAATATGAAAAAGTATGGGTGAAAGTGGTTTTTTAATAAAAAAATGAAAGTATTTTAGAAAATTGGGAAAAAAATGAAAGATGAAGGGTTTATTGAAATGGAGAGTATGACCTAACTTTTTCAAGACTAATTTGAATACATTCGATCTGAATGTACTACAAAGTAAGTAGTGAACTAATCTTATTTATTATATCAGAACTGATATAAACTAGTTTGAATTTGATAAACATAAGTAATAAGCAAGAAAAAATAAATTAAAGAAAGCAGGGCCGTAGTATGTTGTAAATTCCTGAATAGTCCCTCTCGATCAGCTCCCAAAACACACCCTACATATTACACAAATAAGAGCTTGTTCTCTTTCTGTGATTTGATTGGATCTGATTATAATTATATTTAAACATGTTTTAATTTGGTGTGATTTTATTTTCATAAAAACAAACTGAGGAGAACAAGCTCTAATTTAGTTTTTATGTCACTAATAAAAGATGATATCAAAAATAAAAGAAGCATGGCATAACTTTAAAGACCCAGGAATACAGAACTCCTAGATAGTCCTATGATGGAATTCAAGTAAATAACCATCCAGTACTCAGCTCCTTAATTATATCATTGAACTTTTTGTAGGGCAAAACCATCCAGTACTAAATATACAAAATATATAGGAGTATATAGGAGCACTAGGAATTCCAAAAATATCAAATCAAGAGTTGTGGCAAAGCTCAATTATTTATATAAGTTTTAGTCACCACCATCCACCTGCATATATGAGGGCTAGCTGGGGACCAAATCAATTATGGCAAACTTAGTACAATACTATATCTATATAATCTTATAGTAGTAGATTTATGATGAAGCAAAGCAGCCAAGATGGCATGGAGGATAGAGTGAGTCTAGATTAAGGTCTAACTGCTCATCATCATCATTGTTGTTGTTGTTGTTCCTCGCTTCTTCCTCTACTCCTTGGTAGCTTCCCCTGCAACATAACGCGTCACAAAATCATGACAACCCATTATTTACATGTCATTATTATACTCATTTCAGAGAGGACGTGATGCCGTATTACAACATCAACAACAAAATGAACAAACCCAAAAAAAAAATCCCACAAAAAACACATAACAAGTAGGGTGATCTGTGTGCAGACCTTCTTCTACTTGGTACTAGAGAGATTTTTCTCGATAACACTAGTACACGATGATACGATCGATTAGAATACAAGAATTAAAAAAGGAAGAAATAATGTTGATGGTTAAATGACCATAACAACAACAACATTATCCCTGCGCGTCATTGTCTTCCTCCCATTGTGGGGTAAGTGGGGTCGGGTGTTCGCAGCCCGACCCCTATGTTGAAAACATAGAGCAACGACTGCTTTCAGGTCACCCGTGATGAGCATTGAAATTAAATTAAGTTGCATTGACTAATAATTACTACTTCACATTTGAAAGACGTAGTGCTTAAAGAGCCATATAGATAGCCAAAGAAATAGAGAATCTTTGCTTTAATCCATCATGGACAATTAAATTAAATACGTACCCAATGTTTAAGGCCGGAAGAGATTGGTGTTGGAAAAGGAATGAAGCATGGTTTTGCTGATCCCATGGCACTTCTGCTACTCCTCTTCTCTCTTTCTCCTTAATCTAAACCACACATGCAATAAAAAAGATATCAAAAGTAGTTAAAAACTAATCATCTTAATTATACTTTGCTAATTTTCAATATCATAATAAGAAGGTAGAAAAAGTGGGCATATATACGATTTCTCAATGTGTTTGTCATGTTTTTTATGAGTACAAACACTACATTATACTAAAGTTATTAGTGTTAAAAAAAGGTTTCTTGTGAATTGAAAATGAGTATTCAATTATTCAAATTGAAAATGAGTATTCTGTTACTCGAAAATTAGTATTTAGTTACTCTAAAATATGTATTCTGTTATTCCAAAATGAGTATTCGATCAGTTACTCAAAAATAAGTATTCATGTAGATGTTCAGAAAATACCGTACATCCAGATGTATGGTATAAGTACTCTACGTTAATCCACTCATAAATTTAATCACTCAAAAACAGAAAAGAAAAGAAGAAGAAAAAACCAGTCACCACACCTTCTTCACCAACATGTTGTTTTCCTCCCAAATAGCCCTTTCCTATCAAACAGAAAATGTTTGAATATTAATTTTGGTTCTGTAATTAGAGATGAAGACCGCATAGTTCATAAATGAGAATTAGTGATAGAATTTTTGGATGGGTAAAGATTACTGGATTAAACAATAAAACATTGACTTCAATCACACTAAAAGATTGAATCTAATGGATTGCTTAATTCAATTCAAGAGAGCTTATTTATCCATTATTTTTTTCTCACTTTTCGGATGTAAGATACTCTTTAGCACTCTCCTCAAGTGGACAACCAAATCGTTTTGAATATAACAGATTGACCACTTGCAAATGGACGCACATCTCCTAAGTTTTTTTAAGCGCTAATGGACTTCCAGACGAGTAATCGGGTTAAATAGGTCACAGGCTGTTGGATATACATTCCACACGGATAACTAAGCTAAAGACTAATACAGCTAGGAATGAAGGTCAAGAGCTAAGGACTCTAGCCCTATTATAAATTATAAAGGACTTCAGCAGCATTAATAATTCTAATAGATTAAGGAAGCCCAATAAAATTTTCTTCATGTTCTAAGTATGGAGCATATCAGTATAGTGAAGGAATAGAGAAATAATTAAGAGAATTGTAGTTTTCTTGGGAGTGCCAAATATTGAATTATGTTGTATGGTCTAGTTCCACACAAATCTTGGAGCATGATCATACAACATAATTTGGTATTAGGAAAATAATAATTATTCTAATATATACTTCCTTATAGAAAAAGTTGAGTATAATCTTGTTTACAAATAAACAATAAAATGTAGAACTTGTTTTTATCAAATTTAGTTTACATTGAACACAAATAATACAAAATTCATTAATCAATAGGGAGTAATAATTAATAATAAGTTTAATAGAGAGGTAAACACAAGACTCCTTACCTTTTTTTGAAGCTCAGAAATAGACTCAGACATGAGTTGGTTCTGCAAGTGAGTTGTTTTTTATACCATTAAAATGGAAGCCAAACAGTTTATATATTTAAAATAATACTCCTTCCGTCCCAAAAAGATTTACACCTTTCAAAAAAATTGATCCCATAATCTCTTACCCATTTCTATTAAAAAACTACTTTTATCCCTTACTTTTTCAAACCCTACCTATCACATATTCACATCATACCTTTTTCCAAATAATCTACACATCATATCCTACTTTTACACATCACATCAAGGGTATTTTTGAAAAGTCAACACAAAATTATCCCTCCCTTAATTTCAACTTTAGTCAAAACGTGTAAATCTTTTTGGGACGGAGGTAGTAATAAATTATGTGTATATATATACACACACACACATACTCTTCTGGATCGAATTAGTTTAAGAGAAGAGTCAAGCTGCTGCTCAAGATTTTGCAGATCTTTCAAGTTCAACGCGTCCAAGTCTTCTCCCATATAATGCCTTTAAATCAAATGGAATCCAATTAAAAGAAGAAGAAAAATAATCAAATAATTAAAGAGTGACCTCAAAATAAACATAGGTTACATTTTCCAAATTCGAAAATTAAACAAACAAAAGTCATACTTATGATTCCTTTTAAGAAGTTCAATCTTGGCTTTCAGCTTGGCATATTCCAAGGTCCAATTTTCCTGCAAATTCCAATTTAATTGCAAAAAAAAACGTTACGCGTGACGTTATTATAACAGTGAGTCCATATTTGCGTACGTTGTAACGGGCGCGTACCGTTGTGTCTGTACTAGTTGAAATCAAGCGACCCTCAGTGTATGAGTATCGTTCGTACCGCTCCAAAATCTTTTCCATGCTGTCAATTAATTATATTAAAGGAAGATAATACATTTATTAGTACGTGAGTGACAATGTGCAAGTTTATACAAGATCACGGATTACTCAATTGTTGAGTTGGATTATTAGCTAATGAATTATAATTATTTTCCCAAAAAATATGCACCAGAAGTTTATTTTATTTTATTAATAGGTGTAGACTAGAGTACGTAGAGGAAGTTTATAATACCCTTCGGTTATTGCCCATCAGTTTCTTCACTGCATTCAACATTATTTCAGTCTTTTTCCATCATTCATTCATATTTGTACTCTCTATAGTCTATATCAAATAATTTTCAACTTTTCCATATCATTCCAACTTAATTTACATTTGAAAACAAAATACATTCACTTTTTTTTGTTGCTTGGATGGTTATTTTTTTTATTTACACATACACCCTTCCAAAAAATTTCATTCAGTTTGATTTTTCATGCGTTCAAATGTAACATTTTAACTATTAATATCATTATAACACGTTTTTGGACAAAAATAGAGCTGTATTCAAACACTACGTGAAATATGTTATTTGAGAAATACAATCTTAGGTTAAACTTAATTATCTTTTAATGCCGTTTGACACAAATATCATTATATATATGACAATCCAATTAAACTCAACTCTAAATTCTACTATTAGTTCAAAATTCAGACATATATTTAGTCCATAAGAGGGCTTTTTTTAGAGCATTAAAAGAAGAAAATCACATATATAGTTCCCATCTAATATCCATTTAAACTTATCTGATCCCTAAAAAAGGAACATAGTTTTACCCACATAAAAACAAAATCAAACTGTCCCAATTCAGTATAAAACCAAACTCAACAATAACAACAACCAACACATTAAATAACCACACAAAAATCACACAAAAAAAGTACGGTCTCGGTCTCCGGGAAAAAATCAACATGTGTATGTGTACGGACTTTATTCTTACACGAAAGTAGCGAATTGAATCGTCAGCCAGCTAATAAATCTGATGGAATTATATGAGGAAATGCACAAGAAAGAAATAAAGAATCAAATATGTGTAAAGAATTGAAGAGATGTGTCATATTATATGAAACTGGAAATCAAAAAGAAACAAACCCTAGCAAGCAAGCTCATCTGAGAAAGATATAATTCAATCTTGAAAAGTCATTATATCATATAATATTATGATTAATTAAAGAAAAAAGAAAGAAAGAAAGATAATAAAATACCAAGAATCAGTGGAGTAATCAAAGAGCTTTCCTTTATGGGAGAAGACAATAAGGGCAACCTCAGCATCACAAAGAACAGAGATTTCATGGGCTTTCTTGACCAAACCACTTCTCCTCTTTGAGAATGTCACCTGCCTGTTTATCTTGTTCTCTATCCTCTTCAGCTCCACCTTTCCTCTTCCCATTTTACCCTCTCTCTCTCTCTCTCTTTCTTCTCTCTCTTAACTCTAATTTCTTCTCCCTGCTGGTTAACTAAATATAGAAACCCTGGAATTTATTATCATTGGAATTTAACTAGCTAGCCTTAGCTTTTGTACTCATATATGATCAGTATGTAAATAATACTCATAATAATTGTGGTAAAAATTAAAATAAATAAAAGTATTCTTTAATATAATGGTCGACGACAAAAGGGAAAGGGAACCCATAAGGGAATTGAAGTGTGACTTTGATTTGAAGTGATGAGATGATAAGAGAGAACTAACTTTGTACCACTACCCATTGCAAAATTAATGCTCAAAATAACTATCCTTCCATTTTTACCATCACATTTCACACACACACATACTGAATAATAATAATAATAATAATAATAATAATAATAATAATAATAATAATAATAATAATAATAATAATAATTGTTATTATTACTCTCTCCGTTTCACAAAACACTTCTATCCTAATTTTTTGCACATCCTGTAAAATACTTCTAGTCTACCTAAAATGTCTAAAATATCCCAAAACAACTTCTACCCACAATAGAAGTGTTTAATGGAACGCGTAAGAAGTTAACACGAAAAGATTTTGTAAAATGGAGGGAGTTGTATTTTTTAGGGAATTATTATTATTATTATTATTATTATTATTATTATTATTATTATTATTATTATTATTATTATTATCATTATCATTATTATTATTATTATTATTATTATTATTATCATCATTGTTATACTCGATTAGTACTAAAAATATTGTTTCACTATTCCACGAGCCGATGATAATTTTAAGTTTTTTATTTGTTTACATTAAATATTTTTTAACAGAATATTCATAGCACGTCATATTTTTTTATTTAGTTTTTGAATGTATAAAATTTCCCCTTTTTCAAACATACACTAATATTTAATCACTACCTTGGTTCATGAGTATTTGTCTATTTTTGGCTTTTATCGTCAAAATTAACTAAATAAAATTTATACCCCATATTAAATATTTATATGAGAATAATTTTATTATATTTGTCCTATAAAATATTTTCAAGATATTATTTAATCTATTTAAAATATATCATTACTTTTATTTAATTATAGGTCAAAAGTCAATCTTGCTTGACTAGAAAAATACAAAGCATATATGAAGTAAGAAATTACCTAAAAATGGATGTAATATTTAAATAAATTAGAATAAAAATAATTTGAGTCATATTTTGTTAATAGAAAGTGCATTTAGGAACAATTGATAATTGTATATATTGCCGTTTTGTGATTTGTGACTAGCTAATCCAATTGGTGGATCACTATGGAATAGTTCACAGCTAATATACACCCTAATTAGTTTTAGAAATTATGCTCCATGAGTGAATTCATCCCCTATTACCATTTCATGTCATTTTAGTGGATTTTTTCTTTTAAGGCAAATTGTAAGGTACAATCCTATATATACTCTATCATGTACAAATTCAACCTACCTTCTAATATAACATGATAAATTTGTAATTTATTTAAATGAATTTGTTTTTCCACTGCTCAAACTATAAATAATGAGTAACATGACATATCGAAACGAGAACTGCATAGAGAACAATGAACATACTCCCCTACTTTTATTAAAACACTTCATAACACTTCAACTTTCTATTAAAAAACCACTTTTACCCCTACTTTTTCATACCCTACCTATCACATCATACTTTTTCACTAATAACTAAACTATCACATCTTACTTTTTCCCATCACATCAGGGGCAAAATTGGAAAGTCAACCAAAATTTCACTTTCCTTATTTTTCCCCAAAATCAAAACCGGAAGGGTTTTGTGGAACGGAGGGAGTATGTCATTCCCAAAATGAATGTACAACTTTTCTACTTTCCTATGCAATTTGAAATTAAACTACAAAACTACCAAGACCTATCAAAATGAGTACTAGCACACTGAAGATTGCACATATTTCATTTTCAAAACTAATGAACTTGCTCTTCTACTTTTCAATGTAATAAACCACAAGCCTGACTTGTATACACTGCTCCGACTACAAATGAATTAAAAGGACATATTAGAATGAGTGCTATAACGCAGAAAAATGAACCCATTTCATTGTCAAATTGAGTGCACATCTTTTCTACTTTTGTATGCAATTTTAAACCAAACCACAACCATATTAGGAAATATCACAATGAATATATACTACCAAACCTAAGATTGAACATATTTCCTTGTCAAAACAAATGAACTTGATTTCTACTTTTCTATACAACTTAAAACCAAATCACCACTATACCTTGTATCCACTACTAAAACTAAAAATGAGTACCATATATGAATGAATACTATAACAACGTCGAATGCACATATTTCATTGCCAAAATGACTGAACTTACTTTTCTCCTTTTCTATATAATTTGAAACTAAAACACACATATACCATGACATATCACAATGTGTACTGCCAAAAATAAAACTAAGTATACTTCATTGCCAAAACGAATTAAAATCTTTTTTTGCTTGAAATGGACCGGATATTCATCTTCCTCTCCGTCATTGTGTTCGGAACCTTAGTCTTCACAAGAGTTGGAGAGTTGTTGGAGAGATGCGAAGGGAGAACAAATTCGGAACTACTAGATGCTGGTGAATAGCGTTATGCCAGTGGTGGTGCTAGGAAAATTATTGAAGATATGTGGAATATAGTTCTATTGAAATCGTGGCTCCGGGAATTGTACCATAAAAAATTGTGAAAATGGCTAAACTAGTAGTAAAAAATGGAAAGAATACAAAAATGGAACTCTGTGTTTTTTTTTATCTTAGATAGAAGCTAAGTACGATATCAATAATACCAAAAATATATAGTTTCGAAAATATAGTGGGTTGCAAATATACCTTTACAATGTCACCGTACAAACTCTAATTTTTAAAAATACAAAACATAAAATTCCTATTTTGAGAATAAATTGTATGTTTTACTTCTATCTGAGGTGATTTCATTTTAAAAATATCAAAAAAATACTAACAAATATTTGAAAATGTCTTTTCCAAAATAAAATCTAGTTCAACTCGCTAAAGCCTTAAGGAAACACACAGGAAATTTCTTAGGCCATGTTCTCTTCACCTAATCTGTATGATTTTTATCTGATTGGAATTGAATAAGTTATGATCTGGCATTGTCTGATCTAATCAGAATGTAGTTAAATTTAAAGTTGCTTCTGATCTGGTCTGTTTTGATTGGAATAAGAATAAGTAATACTTTCTCTATTCCAGTTTTGATAACAATATTCTCTCTTTTTTTCATCCCAAAATAAATTGCAATAATCCAATTTACATACTTTTTGGACAAAATTACCCCTTTAATTAATATCCCTACCCACAATATGATACTCATAACATTTCAATCATTTACATTATCTTTTACAAAAGGGTACAAGAAGAGTACTGCTTGAAGAATTACAAAAGGGAGGAGGGTGGAGAGATGCACCTTATACTGGACACTACCCCTTCCTCACATGATACTCAGCTGGAACATCAGAGGGTTAAATAACCCTAACAAACAGTGGGAAATAAAAAATGTATTAAATAAATATAGAATTAGTATTGTGGGGATTCTTGAAACCAAGATAAAGAAAGAGAAGGAGGAGGGTATCCTAAATAAGATGTTCACAGATTGGGGGAGCGTTTACTAATGTTGATTATCACCCCCTAGGAAGAATTTGGGTGGCATGGAATAAAAGGAAAGTATATGTCCAGATAGTGGATGCTACTGCGCAATGTGTCCATTGTAAAGTTAGGGACATGGATAATAATGAATACTATTGGATTACTTTTGTTTATGGTTTTAATGACCAATTGAGCAGGAAGCCATTGTGGGATAGCATCAGGAAGTATGCTCATAATATGGTTGAACCTTGGTGTTGCATTGGGGATTTTAATGCAGTGCTGGAAGCAAAGGATAGGGAAGGAGGGAATCCTGTCACAGATGATGAAATGAAAGAGTTTAAAGAGTGTGTGTTAGAGAGTGGTCTGGAAGAAATGGCTTGGGTAGGTCCCTATTATACCTGGTCAAATAAACAAAAGCCTGACAAAAGGATATGGTCAAAGCTTGATAGAGCATTGTCAAATGTTATTTGGATGAGTAAATTTGCATCCAAAACTAAAGTACTGAATGAAGGGGTATCAGATCACTCCCCTTTACTGGTAATTAGTGTGGATCACTCACAGAATAATACCCCCTTCAGATTCTGCAACATGTGGTTGGATGATCCAGAAATGACACAAATAATGTTGAGAGTTTGGAGAACAGAGGGAAACAGCAGGAATATGTATCAGCTTGTTCAGAACCTGAAAAACCTGAAGGGTCCCCTTAAGAAACTGCACAAAGATAAATATAAAGATATTCATAAACAAATTGACGAAGCCAGAGAGATGTTACTGCAAGTACAACAAGAGATTAAACAGAAGCAGGTAACAGAGGAATTAATTGCAAAGGAGAGGGAGCTGAATGAAAAGCTGAATAAAACAATTAAGGCTTCCAATACTATGAAGTGCCAACAGAGTAAATTGGAGTGGATCACTGAAGGAGATAAGGGATCCAGAATGTTTTATGCCTGGCTTAAGAAAAGGAAAGTCCATAACCACATTTTGGCAATCCAAACAGTGACTGGTGACATGGTTGAAGGGACAGATGATATTGCTAAGGTCTTTGTGGAGAGTTATACAAAACTACTAGGAACTAAGGATGACATAAAAGGTATTGATGATGCAATTGTAAGAAAGGGCAAAGTCTTGAACATCACACAACAGATGGGATTACTAAAACCATTTACTGCTGAACAAGTTAGAGAGGTAATGTTTTCAATCCCAAACACCAAAAGCCCGGGACCTGATGGTTTTGGAAGTGGATTTTTCAAGGGTCAATGTGGTTGGGAACCTAATAACCAGAGCTGTATTGGATTTCTTCAAGGAAGGGAAAACATTAACACAAGTTAATGCTACTGTCATCACACTTATTCCCAAAGTTGCAGATCCTAGAAGCCCAATGGATTACA